AGCCGAAACCATCAATGTCGAGTTCGAATACAGAGGATTCGTGGCGAATAGCTTGGCGGATCTGGACGCGTCGATGCTGGAGCTCCGACCGAGCGAGGTGGAGTCCGTGGTGGTAAACTCAGTGTTCGAGTTGCATAAGCTACTGGCTCGGCCGGGCGCCATCGAAAAGGTTATGTCGGTAGTGAAGCAGATGAAGCCGGAGATCATGACGGTGGTGGAGCAGGAAGCCAACCACAATGGTCCGGTTTTCATGGATCGGTTCACTGAGTCACTCCACTACTACTCGACGCTTTTTGACTCGTTGGAGAGCTCGCCCAACAACCAGGACAAGATGATGTCCGAAATGTACCTCGGAAAGCAAATTTGCAACGTGGTGGCTTGTGAAGGCAGCGACCGAGTGGAGCGGCACGAGACTCTGACTCAGTGGCGAACTCGGTTGTGCTCCTCTGGGTTCGAACCCATCCACCTGGGCTCCAATGCATTCAAGCAAGCAAGCATGCTCCTCGCCCTATTCGGCAGCGGAGAAGGATACCGAGTGGAAGAGAACAACGGATCACTAACGCTGGGGTGGCACACCCGTCCCCTCATCGCCACATCCGCCTGGAAACTCGGGAACAACTCGGTGGTGGTAACTCACTGAACAGATTCAACTCGCTAAAAACGAGTGGACTCAAATTCCCAAATTGGGCTGGGTTTTTCACCCAATGAAGCAGTGGGTGGCAATAACAACGAGCAATCTTATCTCAGCACTGTCTGTCACCTTGACAGCGTGACCCACCACTCCCAAATGTGCCTTTCCCCTCACCTCTCACTTTTGCCTGCCACTCTTTTTTCTTTTTCTTTTTTTTGGGCTTCAAGGCTTTTGTAATTTTCAATTGCAAATTTCTGAAAAAAAAAAAAAAGAAAAAAAAAAGTATTTATGCTCATTTAATAGTAGTAAATATAATTATTATTATTACGTGGAAATTAGATTGGTGATAATAAAAATGGAAAATGGGGAGGGAAAAGAAAATTAAAAGAAGAGGTTGAATAAGTGAGAGGCTTGACTGTTGCACTGAAATTTTTACCAATATAATGTACTTCTCAATAGCTTAATAAATAATTTACCCAAATTATTATAATATGATGAAAGCCCACAAGAAATGAGGGGGAGACTTCCAATTATTCATCAATATTCAAACAAATTCAGAATTGAAGCAATCAAATTAGATTTGTTTCAAGGGATTTGTCACCAAAACAAACTATTTTGCACATGCATCCCATTTATTTTATGTTAATTACACAGACCTATGCTCACTTTTCTGGTGGTCACACGAAAAAAAGGGTATTTTTATCCATATCGCATAAAATGATTGAACTTAATCTGCCAGGTCGTTATTGTTTAATATTATTGGTTGTTGAATTTCTCATTTTACATTTTTATTTTATTTTATGAATTGATAAGTTATGAGCATGAGCGCAGCTTATCACGACTATCGATATATAAAATAATACAATTTGGATTATATTAATATAACATTGTACTTGCTTTGTAATTTCATTTAAATATTATTCAATTTAAACTTACAAAATACTTGAATCCAACTAATTACTTTATCATTTTAGGGAGACATTTGCATCTTTTTATGAATTTTATTTTTTACACTTCCCAAAACATATTTGTTTTCTTTAATTATGTTACAACAACATTTTACTTTTAGATTTCAAAATACTCTCGAAGAATTAAAAGAATACTGAAAATGATCCAAATTATAAATTTAAAAGAATTTGTTTGGATTGATAAAAAAAATAAAATTATAAAATTAAAAGAATAGGTGGCATGAGGGAGGGAGGAGAGAGAATATGGGGGGTTGTTCTGTGCCACGTCTATTTTGCACATTTAAATTCAGGCTTTCCAAATGGTGGGCCTTTGTGTCCAAAGCAGACAAAATAGGCCCAGACATTTTTTTTTTTTTTTTAATGAAAATGTCGTCCAGAAGCTGACGACATATCGAGAGTTTAGACGACATGGAGAAGATATTACTCCTCTCCTCTGCGATATGTCGGACCCCTCCAATTACTGATTTCTAGTCTCGTGGATATTTATTGTATAGTTTATAGTTATTATACAAAATTATTTCTTTTGCAATCATTTTTAACTTAGTTCTTACCCCAATTACAAATTGTGATAAAATTCACAAACAAATTGTTATGTGGTTATAAATTTAAGATATAAATAGAAAGTAGCGACATCATTTGAATAATGGGACTTTACCCTCCCACGAGCCTAATAGAAATTTGATTTATGAATGGATTATAAATAAAACGTTCATTAAAGAATCTATAATACTTATATGTAAGATGTACTAACAGGGGTAAAACAAACATTTGACATAACTATGAATAACTGTGATTGATCGATTTGTTAGTAATAATTATATCGATAGAAATAACTTATTCTATAGTCCATATGAATGCAATTCTAGATCTATAGTCGAGTAATCTAGAGTGAATATATATTTAATTTTAAATAAAAATTGATTAATTAAAAATTTTATCTAATTAGATAGGTAAAATATAAATAGAGAAAATATATTTAATTAAAGTGTGTAAATTAATATTTAATCTAAAATGAAAAATATATGTTTATTTATTTTATATGATAAATTAAATATTAAAACAATTAATGTATAGTTAAGGTAATACATCTTTCAAATTTGAATGACATTTAAATATGATTTGAATAAAAATATTATATCTTAATATATTAAATATTTATATGCATTATTTGGTAAGATCCTTCGTTATTAAATAAGAAGACATTCGAGTAACTAAAAAGTGTCTAGAGTAGAGAATTATCTCTAAAGCTATCTCTCGTGATTTTCTTAAAAAAAGAAAAAGCCTTAATAAATTTTGGTTTTGTGTTTAAGCAATGCTTTGTTTTATTTTATATAAAATCAAAGTTAATTTTAGTCCTTCCGCCCCATTACTGATTCGTTCATTTTCAATAATGGACTTTCTTAGGCTATCTCCTATGTCAACTAGAATAAGTTTTCATCACTTAAACCTGTATGAACTTACTTTCTCATAAGATCTATGTTCGTGGTTTTAAAATACTTTGCTCACCTATTTACTAGTCTCTTTCATCATCATTGTCATCAACCTACAAATCATAAGTGCTCAAGTCCTCATCTCATCGTAATTCCAACCTATAGTTCTTATCATATACCATTATGGATGTTATCTCATAATCTCTATTAAGGGTGTCTCCATAGTAGGCTTCATAATATCATTATCATTAAAGAAAGAGAGATCCTCATGCATACCAACATTCATCTACCTATGTAGTCACTTGCCTTCATCCGAACAAGATCACAGTTAGAGCTTCTCCCCTCAACTCACCCCTTGTATTCAACTTAAACATGGCATGGACAGATGTTGCACCTCTCCTTCACATCACTAACCTTGATCACGTACAATTAGTGACAATTTTTTCTTTTCATTTTGTTATAATTAATATTATATTTTTAATTTTATTTTATATAATTAGATATTATAATCGGTTCTCGAAATATTGGTAGATTCCACACTCTAAATAACAATAGAAATATAAATTTGTTTTAGGGCCTTATATCAAACATATATTAATCAATGATTTTGAAGGGAATAAATATATGGATATGAATGAATGGGAGGCAAAATGCTTTGTAAGAAGTCAAACATAAATTGAGTTTGAAGTTAACTCAACTTTGAATATTTGATGTCTTTGCCTTTATAGTCAGATTTTTTTGCAAATTTTAAAAAACTATATTTATTTATTTTAATAAAGTTTTTTATATTATTTTCTTAAAGTTATTATTTTGATGAATTAAATAGCAACAATTAATATAAAATTTTATTGATTATTAATAATGTAAAACAAAATATTTATTTAAATCTAAGTAATTATTATTTTCTTAATTGAAATATTGTCAAACATAATCTCCCCTACATCTTAAAAATTGATTTAATATCTTTTCAATATAATAACTTCGGTCAAAAATCAAATGTAATATAAGTTGATAATCTAAAACAATTCATTTGAATATACCAAATGAAACTGTACTACTATAGGTATGTTTTGTTGATTAATATTGATTATTAATGTAAACTCGAAATAACAAATTCAAAATAGAAGAAAAGAAGATTCATAATCTTGCAATTTTGTGTTTATTAATTTTAATTTTAATTTTTGTGTTTAATAGATTCTTAGTTTAGTAGATATTTGTCCGATCTAATAAATTTATGAAATCTGAAAGATGTCCTTCATGAACTTGGAAGTGTGATTTATTAGACGTAAAATTAAAATTTTAAAAATGGATTAGACACAAATAAAAAATAAAAAAATATATTAAACATTTTTAAAAGTTAGGAACAAATCCTATTATTAAGGAGTTAAACAAATCTTAGAATACCACGTTTGGAATGTTTTATTTTCTTTGTTTAAATGATTAGTATTAATTTACATGAAATAAAACTATATATTTCATCTAATTTTTTAAATTAAAATAAATTCGACAGACTTTTGAGATAGAAGGCCCAAGCCCAGGCCCAAAATAAATCCATTACTCCCATACATTTTAGAGGTTTAGTTTCTTAAATACTTTTAATAATGACATTTTTCTGAAAATGTCTATTTTTACTTTCAGGGTTTAAAAATAAGATATTCACCAATTAGATGATTTTTTTTAAGGAAATCTTTAATTAAATTTTTAATTGTAAATAATATTTCATATCTAATTGCATGCACCATTTTATAACTCATAAGCGATTCAAATATAACCATGTCTTCGATACATATAAAATAAGAACGAAAAATAAACACGAACTAGGATGGAGAATAGGTAACGAAAAATCCTTTTTCCTCCCACTCCGTCCTCCATTCCCCGCTTAATTTGGGATTCCTATAATACCCACCGGGAAAAGATATATATAAACGTCCCTAATTGGGAGGACATAGAGTTTGCTGAAGAGAAAATTTTGAAGACATAGAGTAGTTAATATATATGTGATTACAGGATGAAGTTGTCACTTTGCAGAAGCAGAATAAAGATAATTCATTCTACACAACCAGAATTCTAAGTCCAGTTTCAGGTCAACAAGGCAAATACCCTTATTTCCTTCTGCTAACATCTACAAGCCATGGAACTGGGAAACTTATTACATAGTGTACCTAGTAGTGCAACAATTTAGGAACTCAGAAGTGGCTCATACCCTCTTTCGGCAGACCCTTAGATCCCGGAACATCGATCCATTCGAGTTGAATCTCCACCTCACCACACTCTACATTCTTCAACCTAAGGTGCATGTTCTGTATAATTTTCCCTTTGTTCCAAACACATTGGCTCTCATCAGCTAAGTCGTTTGTTCTGCTTGGATATACCCTCTTAACCACACACCCCTCTGGGAGGTTTTCCAGTCCCATCTTCAGACATTCGATGTATGGTTCGATGTCAATTACGGCATCTCCCATTTTGTCATGGTCTGTTACTGTGTCTTTGTCATACACTGACTGCAAAAATGAAAAAGAAAGACAAGAGCATAAAGCAGAAAGTTGCACATTCTCCTCATCTGGTGGTTGGCTTGAAGCTCTCGTTCATAATTATCAAAGACAAATATCACTTACTAAACCGATTGGAGTTCTAAGATCTGCAATAGAAAGAGTCAGTTCATCATTCCATTCAGGATTGCAATTATTTTTCACCACACGGGTCTTCAAACTCTGCACCAGTTTGAGTTATGTAAGAAGAATACTAAAAAACTCATTCAAGATTTAAATGAGAAGGCGTAAAGATATCAGTAATGTGGACTTTAGTTCATTAGTTTGAAAGCTTGGGTTTTCAAGTTAAGAGTTAGGAAACGTAAAATTCTGTGTTCAGAAATGGGCATTGGGAACTTTTTTCTGAGTGATTTATGTTTGGTTCATAAGTTTCTTGCAGTACAAATCCGGAGAGATGTATTTCATTGATTATCAAACAGTTTAGCTCTAAGACAAGCAATCCAATGTATCAACAATCAACATAAATCCGAACTTCTCAAACCAGGAATCAAATGCCTCAAAAAAGTAGATTAAGACTAAGTTGGATCAACTGTTCTGACCATAAATCTACCTATTGGCATTCGCAAGAAAGTTTGATGGCACAAAGCATAATCTAGTACATATATAACGCCTAAGCCCACCTCTAGTAGACATGGTCTTTTTTGGGCTTTTCCTTTCGGACTTCCTCTCGAGGTTTTTAAAAAACATCTGCTAGGGAGAGGTTTCCACACCGTTATAAAGAAGGCTTCGTTCTCCTCCCCAACCGAAGTGGGATCTCACAACATACCAATGAACACCAAATGATCATATAATTTTGTCTACATTTTGTGCTTCATCCCATGTTTCCTGTTATTGTAAATCACCAAGCATTCACAATACTTCTTTTGCCTATACAAGAAGAAACCTCTTTGTTGAGTGTTGAGAAGTTACAAGAATTTGAGCACACAAACGTCCTACAATCGTATAAAAAATCCCCCCAAATCGAAAAATAACAAACAATACAAAACTAAGCCGCCATTTTAGACAAAATTCAATCAAATCAAATCAACCTGGTGTTATGGCTAAGATGGTATCATGATCTCTTAACTGATATTGATCAAACCAGATAGATTATCACTGATTTTCTTTTTATTTTTTATTTTCCCTAGAACCCTGCAAGCATATCCGGCTAGTCTGAACTAGCACAAACAGTCAGTTTCTTTCAAACGCCAATATGTATATATATACTTCTAGGGGTAAAGCAGATGGACGTCAGAGCCGAATAACGTAAAAGGAGCTAAAACAGTAAGCATCCATTCAAGAAATTGTAGCAGAAAACATAGTAAGATCATCAATCTCGCCAATAACAGAAAACTTCAAGAAAGAAGTCAAATCGAATACCTTATCGCCCATAGTGACGACGACAAAAGGATCACTGCTACGAGTATCACGAACAGCCAGATTAGAACCGCGAAGCACCCGAATTCGGAGAAGACCCAAGAAGTGTTCCATCGTGGAGCAAATTAGACCTCAATCGTGAAGAAAATCAAATATAAACAATTGCAGTATGGAGTTGATAGAAATTTTGATTATCACCAAATGAAAAATCAGAACTCAGAAAGCATCACAATGAGTTGGAGAAGAGAGAAATACTGAATCGAAGAAGGAAGATTGAAGAAGTGGCCGGTCGGAACTCGGGGAGTTTCTTTGTGGTCGACCGTCGTCGCCGCACTAAATTTTAGCGTTGCCTGTCAGGTCCCTAGTTTTTTATTTTCTTTTTCCTTTTATTTTAAATATATTAAATTCGGATGACCAAACATTCATTTTGTTATTTAATTTAAAAAATAATAATAATAAATTAATGAATTATTAAAAAAAAAAAAAAAAAACAACAACAAGTTTACAGATCACTTTCCATTTAAATTTTTTTTACTTTGGGGGAAATATTTCAAGTTATTACCATGAGATTTGAATTTCATAAAATTGAACCGTTGCAATGTGTCTTGGTTAGTCCGTTTTACTAATTCCCACATTTATCTAAATGGAAAGGAAGGTAAAAATTGGAATAATGCGTTAAATAAATAAATGAGTTAGAGATGTGAATTTTCGACCTGACATTAATAAAAAAATAAAATCTTAGAAATTTCATCCATTTTAATTATTTTATTTGTATTTGTAGTATAATATTATTTATGGTATGCAAAATTCATGATCATGAATAATCATATGGTTGACCTACAATTATATTTAAACAATAACTTAAAAGGTTTATACTTTATTAATAAAATCAGTGTCTTATCATGGTAATATTGTTATTACGTCTCACTTTGTAATTGTTCCAGAAGTTTTTGATTTTGTCTTTAAATCGTCCATTTCAGCCTATTCCCAGCTTGCCTCGCTCTTAGGTTGACCCTTCTACTTGACTATTCTACTCGTTTAATGTGTATGGTCCTCTCTCGCCTATGGTGGGATCAACTATGATATACTTAACTGATTCTTGGGGAACAGAGGGCTCATGGTACCAATTACCCTTCCTCCTTTGCTTTGAGAATCGTGTGAACTGAGTGCATAGAAGGGAAAGAGGTCCTCATACGGGGAAGTTCATCTACAAGATCTGGTGGTGCCCTCATGGGTACGTTCCTATCAGAGTTAGTCTAATCTAATCAAAGTCAACGGACTCACATAGAATACGGGGTGAGTTTTCTCCGAGTTGGTCGCTTGAGTCTATAGGCTATCTCTTCTATTCGGTTCTCTACAAGGTTTTTATAAATATGTTAATTAAGAATATTAATATTTCAAAAGATGACCATATGGGACTCGACTTTAATCGTTAGGAACTACTGTATGTGAAGGTTTGTCCTTTGATTTGCATGGATGAGAATGGTTTTTGTAGTCGATTCAATATGTCTACCATTTCAAATACTTGACCAAATAGAGAGATGAGAATATAATTTCATGAGATGAAATTTACTCATTAACATAAGTAGATGAATAGTTTCCTCTTTAATAGAACGACTTATAGTTCGAATGAAAATTAATTAATTAATTAAAAAATTTTAATTAATTTTACATCTCCATAACGTCTCCGTGCTAGTTCATAGTAACAATAAAAGAATCCATTTATATTATATGTTATAATATTAGATATATTAAAATAAAAGAGAAAATTATATAGATGGTATTTGATATTAAAATAATTAAGGTTATTATATATCTTTTAAATTTAAATTAATTGAATATATATTAAATAAGATTTAAATATGATATTCTATTATATAAATATTTAAATATATTATTGACAAAAATTTTCTTTAAAAAGTCTCTACCAATAGAAACTTTGGATTGACCCAAATGAGCATCCCACATTCTCTCCGCTAGATAGTAGATGCTCTATCTCCACCAGGAACCTTCAATTTAGTTAGCTCGTAGCTCGTAGTATGTATGAAAGTATAATATAAGAAGCGTGTCATGGAAATTTGAGCATGATATGAGTTGACCTGATGCATGTAAGAGCACGTTAAACATTATAATGTACACTTATCGAGGAATGAACCATTGAGCTATGATTTGATTGAAATCGGAGCATGCCTTCAGTGTGATACAAAACATGTTATAGAAACCTATTATAAATGTTTGAGCATAGAATGAGCTGAGCTGACACATGTTGAATGTTATTATGCATGTTTACTAAACTCGTACACATTGTGTCCTATGAACTGAAATTCATGACTAGGTATCCATGTTTAGATCATTTTGCTATGTCTCTATTTCATATGTTTGTGATGTATTCAGTTATACATAAACGATTAGAGGTTCAACAACTGACCTTCAATCATGAAATTGATTTAGGGGTTCGAATAACCATAGAACTGGTTTATAATATTTTATGACTTATGATGGTACTCTATGGGGCTATTCTGAAGTTTTCCAGTTAGCTTCCTATAGTGAGCCTGTCACAAGGGATAGAGGTCCATAGTTGTACCTTAAGAGTTTGTTATGATTATTGTTCATACATGTGAGTTATGCAGTTATACGTGGATGATTGAGGGTTCACCAACTAACTCCTAATCATAAACTTGACTCGATTGTCAGGGGTCCAAATAACCATAGAACTAATATATGATGTTTTATGACGTACTGTTAGTTAGTTTTCCTTTGGTGAACATGTCACTAGCGGCAAGGGTCCACAATTGCGCCTTAGAGTTTGTTGAGCCTTAGCATGCATGAACCCTATGAGATTGACATTAAGATCACACCTTGAGGACTTAACGATATGATGATAAAAGAGACTAACAGAAACGACTAATTAGAAGATCTAGAGAACTTAAGAATGTTATGAGGGCTAGAGGTCCAAATAGGACCGAGAACCAAGAAAATAGAATGAGTAAACCTAGAGTAGTCTAGCAAACAAATTAATTAAGGCACCGACCCCCAAATGAGAATAAGGCACCAAATAAATTAAATAAGATTAATAAAATTTTATAATAAACTATGAACTACCCGCAAACTACTTATTAAATATATTTTATATACTCAATCGTGCTATTTCAATTTTTTTTAGGTGGAGCTTGAGCTAGCAATCGTGGCAGAGGCACACATAGGTTATAGGTCCCTGGTTATAGGGAGTCTTGTCACACTTAAAGGCTAAATTTCCTTTTGTACTTATATTTTAAATTTTGTATTTTATGTATTTTAAATAGTTTGAGTAGTATGTTTTGGTGGTCTCCATTTGTCTTTTGTAAAAGAAAAAATTTTATTACTATTCTCGGGTGTCACATGTGCACCAACTTCCACTTTATTTGTCCCTAAACCACATCCTATTAGGAGATACTACTCTTATACCATTTGCAATGCCCCATGCCCAAGATTGAAATTAGAATTCGGAATCAAGATTCAACACTTGATGTCCCTGTCATTCTCCTGCGACATGGTCACGTGGTTTTTTTGTTATTAGGATAGGTGAATTATTATGGATCCACCTTTCCTTGCTTTTTAAAAGTGAAGACTATCCCTACAGACCAACACGAGTCCTTCCATATGCTTACTAGTAGAGGCATATGCTCTTGCCTGAAGATGGTTCCAAGTAGTCCTCCTTGTTGCGCCTGGACCCCTGTGTTGTTAACAGGTTGTTTACGCGACCCTCCATGCAATTCATGGCAATATGTCTTTCTTGACCATACTGGAAGCATGCTCTAGTGCGAGTCAAGCATCATCCCAATGTTTCCTTCCATTCATTGCACTAGGGCCTCCCTTACCCTACAAGGTGCACCTTCCTTTTTTGTGACTCAATCATAGGAACTTCATGGTTAAATGTATTTTACTTGGAACAATTCCATATAGGGTGACCTCTTGAAAATTTACCGAAGTTGCATGTGAGTGAGAACAAAATATGCCAGAAGTATTTGTGTTGGTATGTAGAGACTTCATTATTAAGAAGCAAGGAGTGTAGGTAATGTAACCATGTCGCAGGAGATACAATGGAATGTTGGGGCTATCAAGTACCGAATCTAAATTTTGAATCTTTATCCAAATCCTAGGCATGAGCCGTTACTGTGATGTAGGAGAACAAATGGAAACCTTCCTCTAACAGATACATTTTAAAGTTTTGAGGGAAAGCCAAAAGAGGACAATATAATTTAACGTGGGAATATAACATAGACCTAAATAAAAAGTCAAAGTTAGAATATTAAATCTTGTTTTAGATACTAAAATACAATACAGTAAAATTAAAAGCTTGGTGGCAAGGGTAAAATAGAAATTTGAGACGTTGTATTAGATTTCGTATTTTCAAAAGAACTGCAATTATTAGTCTTTAATCGTTCTCCATTTTCCAATTTAGCCCCTAATATTGGTCCAAAGCTTCCCTAAATTTTATAAGCACCTTACTTTCAACACATGCTATTTTTAGTAATTTTCATTAAAGTCATTACTTAAATGGGAAAGATGGGTAATAAATAATAATTTTGAAGGGGAAAATTCATTTCATTTGAATTTGTATTTTCAAAACAATTACAATTTGGTCTCTAATCGTCCTCTATTTTCCAATTCGGCTCTCCATTTTCTTCAACAACTTCCCTCCATTTTACTTCTTCTCTAATTTCAAAACACTCTACTTTTAGTAATATTTACTGAATCATACCTTAAATATGAAAGATAGATGGTAAATACTAATTTTCAATGGTAAAACTGTAATTTTACAATTTAACCCTTAATTTTGGTAATAAAACAAACTCTTCCCTACTTCTCAACATTATTCTAATTTTAGTCATTTTCATTAAAGTCATAATTTAATAAGGAAAGATGGGAAGGTAAAAATTGAAAATTTTCACAATTTTCTTTAAATTGCAATTTGGTCTCTAATCGTTCTCCATTTTCCAATTTTTGCCTTTAATATTGTAAAGAAAAACTTCCCTAAATTTTACAATTCCCTACTTTCACCCCATTCTAATTTTAGTAATTTCCATTAAAAATCATAACTTACATGAAAAAAAAATGTGGTTTAAAACAAACTATATATTTAATGAGAATTAACGTAACAATAGTGTGTAATATTTGAAATATTTATTGATTAATAATAAATCTATTAACCAGGGAGAAAGGCTTTTAAAGTATAAGAATTTAAATTGAAAAATGAGAAATAAAAAATAATAATAATTGAATAGCTTCCAAACAACGCCATTAGTTTAATTATTATATTGAAAACTAAAATTGGTAGGTTACAATAAATAATTTCTCAAAAGAAAGATATGACATAAATATGCTACAAGTATATTCTCAGTACTAAAAAGAAGGATAGTGAAATTACCATTATGGACAATATCAAGAAGCTCCCAGGACATTCTTGGCCATATGAATAGTATATTAATATTTATTTAAATAATTTACTTTTTTTTTTTTTTTTTTTTTTTTTTTTTTTTTTTTTTTTTTTTTTTTTTTTTTTTTTTTTTTTTTTTTTTTTTTTTTTGGTTTGAAACAACGGATATTTTATTAATGATTAATATCATTTCTTGGGTTCCACTCAATAAAATTCTTTAATAAAGCTGACTTATTCAAGAAGGTACTAAAGATCTATTACCTAATTCCCAGTTGGATTTTATTCAAAGTTTATTAAAATGAAAATTGGCTAAGATTTTTTTCTTTTTTTCTTTTTGAAAAATTAGAAACAAAATATTCTGAATATAATACTATTTCCAAAGGACAATTCAGTCCCTAATGTTAGTCGTTTTTTTTAATTTCATCCTTTATAATTTGTATTCAATAATTGTACATCAAGATACTTTTTATTAATTAGGTTGAAAAAATATCTTAAGTTTTAAATTGACATACCTTATTCTAATAGTCTAAATCCACAGTAGATAGATATTGTTTTCTCTAGGCTTATCTTTTTGGACTTCCCACCGCTAGCAAATGCTATCATCTTTGGGCTTATCCTTTCGAGCTTTCCCGAAAAGTTTTTAAAACACATATACTAGGGAGTAGTTCCACACCCTTTATAAACAATATTTAGTTCTCCTCCCAACCCAACCAGATATCGCACGTATCCTTGTTGGATAACTATTCTATTTTTAAAAATTATTCTTATTTCTTTATAATTCATTTTGGGCTACCAACAAATATGAAAACTGAAAAAAAAAAAAGAAAAAAAAAAAAGTTTATGTTTGGCATATTAGGTGTGAGAAGGACGAAAAGAGAGAAGGGTGAGCAAAGGAAGAGAGAATCACGCAATGCCAAGAAAAACTAAACCAGATATGCCCAAATATGAGGCTTCTGGGTCCTTCCTTTTCTACCCTTTGCTGGCCATTTGTGCCATAGAACCAACCAAAACATAAATGTGGTATCAAAATAATGCCTCCACCAACACCATCTGATATACTCAAATTGCTTACAATAATACTATTCCACTCATGAATCGTGTTTCTTGTTGCTGCTTTTACAACATTTACAATATCAGTGGACTTTCAAAGAGATAGATAGCGTTTCAAACATTGTAATGAAGAACATTCAGTTCATCCTTCTTTTAGCTGAAATTAATGAAACATCTGCGACTCATTCACCAAAACAAACTGTAGAAACAATATCAAGCTTAAAATGTCAAATTTTGGGTATTTGCCTGTGTGTGAACATGGCCAACGAATAACGTTATCAGATGGAAGGAACCTTTTTTTGACAAATCAAAACTAAAAACAGGTTGCTTAAAGCTAGAGATTTTCCTGTGAATTGGAAACCAACTTTCTATCTTTGGGACCCATGAGACCCAAGCGGAAGCTTGACTAAGTGTCACAATTGCTCTTATTCGAGCATAATAAATGATATTTGATATTACCTTCGAGTATTCTTTCGAGCTTCCCTCAAGGTTTTTAAAACACGTCTATTAAGAAGAAAGTTTCCACACCTTTACAAAAAAGTGTTTCGTTCTGCTCTCCAACTGATATGAGATCTCACAATCCACTCATTCAGGGCTCAGCCTCCTTACTGACACTCGTTCTTCTCCAATCGATGTGGGACCCCCACCAAATCCACCCCCTTTAGAGCTAGCGTCCTTGTTTGCACATCGCTTTATGTGCACCCCCTTCGGGGCTCAGTCTTCTTGTTAGCATATCGTTCGGTGTCTAGCTCTGATACTATTAGTAACAGCCCAAGTTCATTGCTAGTAAATATTGTCCTTTTTGGTTTTCACTCTCGGAGTTCCCCACAAACTTTTTAAAACGCATCAAAGAAGAGGTTTTTGCATTTTTATGAAGAGTGTTTCGTTTTACTCTTGCAACCCGATGTGAGATCTCACACCCATGGGACCTAAACTAAAGCATAGCTCAGTGTTTCAATTACCCTCGTTGGCCACTAATAAGTGATATTTGATATCACCTTTTAACAACTCAGACTTGAATAGTTCGCACAAATGGTCTCTATCTCATAACTTGGAAAGTGGTTTTAGAAAAAGTTTTGAAAAGCATTTTTCTAAAATGGAATTAAATCAGAAATTACAAAGTCAACAACTTCATAAAGCTTATCTAAACTGCCGCACCCCCTACTACCAGCAAAACCAGCTGGCCAAGTCGTGAAAAGTGAGGCGTATATCTCAGAGGCATTTACACAAACAGGTGGTGCGCATGCAATTGAAAACTATAAAAGAAATATCTCGAAGCCAAGCATGAATAGAAAACAGACAGAGAAGATCAGTAGCCTTAAGGGCAGGGGGGCCACCAGGTTTGAAAAGAATTACCAAAAGCAAACCAAATTTGAATTTGGATTAAAAACTTAAAACATGGGGCTTCTGGGAAATCCAAAACAATCAAGTAAAGGGAGTATTCACAGCGCAAATAATGGAACCTGCTTCGAATCTCCATTATGGAAAACGAACTGTATTCACCGCCGAATGGGTAGCTCCTTCACGTGCTGTCGCTGCCATTGATGAACAACAGAGCTTCTTCCTTTTTGTACATGGAGCTGAAATCAATTTGTTTTACTCAATTTTTTGTTTTTTTTTTTAATTCCATTTCGATATATACGGCCTTTTCCTCTCGTGAAAGCTCATTTTCATTATTAATGAGTTTGAATTTAGTGCACGTTTGATAATGATTTTAATTTTGATTTTCTTTTTTATTTTTTAAATTATTTGTATTTATAAATTACAAATATATTTTGGAATTTTAGTTTTTAGCTACTTCCTATTAATTTTTAGCCCAAATTTATAATGTTATTTTAAATTCACAGCATAAAACATTAAGCTCATTTTTCATTTAGTGCACGTTTAATAATTATTTTAATTTTGATTTTCTTTTAAACTTTTGAAATTATTTATATTTATAAATTACAAATATATTTTGAAAGTTTTCGTTTTTAGCTGACCAGTTGTCTTAGTTTTATTTTTAGCTCAAATTTTAAATTTTTATTTAAATTTAAAGTATAAATCCCTAATTAAAAAAAAACAGACACTAATTATCTCTAAATATTATATTTTAATTTTATTATTTTAGATATTTTATTTTAATCTTCAATATTTTAAATATTTTATTTGGTCTTAAACTCTACGTATAAATTATTTATTAATCATATATTTATTCAAACGCTCAATACTAACTCAAATTTTATTCTGGAATAAAATTGTTCATAGAGCCCTTAATAGTAAATTTGATAAAAATTTAAGATTATATGTAAAGCATAAAAGAAGGGAGAAAACATAAATTAGAAAAAAAAACAATAAAATACAAAATATGTTGGATTTTAATTTAAAATGGTTGAAAAGTAGGTTTAATAATATAATTTATAAATAATAAAAATAGATGAATTACCATTGGAATTTAAATTATTAATGAAGGAGAAAAATAAAAATAATTTGTGAAGCAAAATTAAGGCTGAAAAATGTGGGGGTCAAAATAAAATAAAATAAAAAGAAGAAGAAAAAAGAAAAAAGAAAAGGAATAAGAAATAAAAGCATTTAATAAACGAATCGGAAAAAAAAAAAGAAATTAAGATATATTATGGTTGTTGGCCCTAAAACAAAGCCCTAACCCTAAGCAAATCCATTTAAATACCACCTACCATCCTCCTCGGTGCCCACAATTCTCAACTTTCACCATTGTTTTCTTCTTCTCAATTCATTGCATTCCCTTCTTTCTCTCCTCTCTCTGCAAATCAATTCCGTTTCTCGCTGTGATTGTTTTCTTTCATCCGCCGGAATAGGTTCGAGAATTTTTCAAGGAGTTGTGAATGGTTGAAAAAAATTCCAGTAGTAGTAATTACATGCGCTCCCTTTTGGATTCAAGGGCGAGCGCTCGTCTTCCTCTTTCTGCTGCTTCTTCTTTTGCTTTTGGTTCTTGCAAGGAAGGCTGGTACTACCGCTGCCTTGGTGTTGACCCTTGAGATCTCTTTCTCTCTAATCCATATACTCATTTGAAGGAATTTTCATTTTCTTTAAGTTTTTGCGATTTTACTCTCTCGATTTTTTGATACCGGCGCTAGCTTCGGTGAGTTTCTCGGGGCTATTGTCGTCGGTATCCGGTTCCCTGATTCGGATATAGTTTGAAGGAAAAAGAAGGGATTGCGATTTCTTTTTTTTTTTTTTTTTTATGAAGATGTTGCTGTACAAGCAGAAGAAGAACCAGAATGTTAAGGGCAATAGGCTGTTGATCAGCATCAATGTGCTCGGCAGCGCTGGCCCGATTCGATTTATTGTGAGCGAGGAGCAACTTGTTGCTGATGTTATTGATACCGCGTTGAAATCCTACGCGCGTGAGGGCCGGCTCCCAATTCTTGGCTCTGATCTTCACCATTTCCAGCTTTATTGTCCTAGTGCTGGACCAGATGGTAATTCTAATTTTATATTTTATTCTCAATTCATTTGTGTTAATTCGTTGCAATTTTCCTTTACAATCATGTTGCATGTTTCTAATCTGAAAGGATGGAGAAAAAAATTAGATGTTATTCGGTATTTATCTCATTTTGTGGTGGGGTTCTCTGTTTTGAGATGTTTGGGTTCTCTCATGTTGTATGGGTTTTTTTGTGCAGCCTTGAGTCCATGGGACACAATTGGATCGCACGGAGCTCGAAACTTCACGTTGTGCAAGAAACCACAGGCAGAGAAAGTGGGAGAAGATGGAAAAGCAGCGTCACGGCCAGCCATCCATCGCAAAGCCTCAGGGAGCTGGAAGTCATGGATCAACAAGTCTCTGAATATGAAAATCTATTCCCATTGAATCCGCGTAATGATGACGGGTGATAGCCTTCAATTAGGTTGGTTTTAGTTTGTTGTGAGCCTTTGCAATTTGTTTTTTTCCTCCTTTTGTAATCTTTTTGGACCCGTATTTCAACTTGATTTAGAGTTGGGTGGGGTTCCCTTTCCTCTTCAAATAAATACTTAGATTTTACCCCTTGAAACAAATTGCATCATAGTTTTTGATTGGCCATATATTGTTAAAAAGGTTATGGATCGAACTCGAAGAGTGTGTTCAATGAAAATGGGAGTTTGGCGCACATTAAGGAATTGTATAATTGAAAAGGTGGTGGTGGATGGTTTGATGTTGACTGTGTGAAATCTGAAGCGCTATGTATCACGTTTTGTGGGTACTGATTATGTCATTGACAGAGCCTCACTTTCAATGGTGTGTGTGGGTCACCCACCAGCCCTTTTGACCTTTTTCTTTTCCCTTTTTCCTTCCTGTGTTGAAACCAGTGGTTTCTGTTCTCGTGGATTTTCGTTGTAGCAAGCAAGTTAAAATTGTTAAGATAGGAAGAGAGGTCATAAAAATTGACCTGATTTAAGGAGAAAAAAAGCTCTGCCATCAATACATTTTATCTGTTCATTTAACTCAACACATGGTTTTGGGAGGCCTAAATTTTATGCCCGATCTTTGCTACGGTTCGCCTTCGTTTGCACGCGTCGGGCAGCTACCTGCTACTCACGTTTGCGCCTCCTGATGAGTCCATTTCTGCAACTAGTATTTACATTCACCCTTAAATTTTAATTTTATGAATGAGATATTATATGGATTTGGTTTAATGAAAAAGGAAAAAGGTTGTGTTGGAGCTTAATTGAAAGTGGAGTTTGGGTAAAGGTGATGTGATTGTGAGGGTGAGAAATGGTGTTAAGTTTGAAGCTCAACAACACATCTTTCTTTGGTTTCGATTGGATTTCAAGTCATTTTCCAAAATTTCAATTTCTTAGTGGGTGGGTGACTATGACCATCATGCCAAACCCATCCCCATCTAAATTCATCCAATCAGTATAATTCTTCATCTTTTTTATCATTCTAAAACTGGATTGATATTTTTTTTTTCTCCAACCTGGATTGGATTATATTCTTTATCATTGTCTCCATTTCCAGTCCTATTTATATTATAAAAATATATTTGGAGAGAAATACTACACTTTAATATTAAATATATATATATATATATATATATATATATATATATATATATATATTCATGAGCTATTAAAAAAAGAGACAAGATAGATGTTACTTTAATATTGTCTGTTATCTAGAATGCACAAATTTAAAGTACAATTATTGAACATGAGACCGAACGTGTCACACCAAACCAAACACACTATAAAAGGGCCATAAAAGATATAGCATTGCCCATCATAATATCAATTGGAGACTATAACCAAAACATGTAGACATAGTTTTAAATGATGATGTTGGAAATATTGAGGTTGATGGATATTTTTAAAAGAATTATCAAATATCTATATTTAAATTAATAAATACATATACTTTTTAAATAAATACTTTTATTTATGCATTAGGTAAGATAAAAGTGGAAATATTCACTCAGTAAATAATCTCACTGTTGGAGTCCGAGAATGCAAACACATTCAGAATGATAAGACCTATCGTTTAAATTCGTCCCTAACTTGCCTCCTTTCTTTTGGTTGGTCCATGTTTGATATGTTTGGCCTTTTTGCCTAACTTGGGAAGCAATTTGGATTTATGCTTGTGGTCCATCCCTACCATAAGTAAATGATATTGAATTTTTGTGGCTCATTTTGAAGTGTAGCAATAGATAAATTTTTTTAGTTTTTTAAAAGCAAGAAAATAAAATGAAACTAAGATTAAAATTAAAAAAATAGTGACTTAAAGCCAATGGGTAGGATTAAGTTCGAAACAATAATAATCCATCAAGTTGGTTTTTCATCCATTAATATCAAGAATATATATCTTTTTTCTTTTTAAATAGTTTTTTTTATTAAAACCTTAAAAGTAATAATTTGATGAATAAAAATTCTGAATTTTGTAGAGGTTTAGGCCTGGGCCCATCAGAGTATACAGCCCTTACTGCTATAAGGCCCACACGTTTTTCCTTACATGGGCTTACCATGAAAGCCCATTCAAATGGTCCATTTGTAATCGGTGAACTTATTACAAAGAAAATAATAATAATAATGGAAAATAAACACTCAAATCATATTTAAATAAATGATGAACTCAACAAAATGAGCTGATCATAATTCTACTATTTTCACTTGCTTATATGTCTATTTTATAGAGATCACGTAATTTGGAGGAATCATAGATCTAAATTGAGTAACCGAAACAAGAGAAAATGAAGACCAAGCTCAAAACGAGAGGATAGTGTGTCAATGCCTAAGGATCGTCACAATTCTCGTGCTGAATGCTTTCAAGCCAAATGACCCATCCATGTAGTGTCCAGACGCTATTTTCAAGTGTCTCGAAGCTTATATATTCATGTCAAGGATGTTGTGGTCAATATCGTGACTAGGCAGGTGCTCAATAGTGACACAATGTCACGACACTAAAAACAAATCTACCTTCTCATTGAATCCAATACGTCTTGACACAGCCTCGTGAACATGTCGAATAATTTACAGTTTATGTGTCCTCTCTAAGACAAGGAAAGCTTAATGTGTTATGTGTAGGTTTTTAGGTACTTTAGAGACTTTACTTCATATGGTTTCACATGCAGGGTTCATTGGTGTGTTATAGAGGAAGAGATGAGAGTTTGGGCGTGAGGAAGAGCAGGTGAATCAGCTCCAGATGTTGACCACGTGATCCAATTGCCTACAAAGAACACACAACAGTCCCCAAAAGTGGATACCTTCTCAGCCGTTTCCAACGCTCAATATGTGTCTGCCAAACCCTACAAAAGGAGCATGTCAGGATGTTTAAGAACAAGAACATGAAGCTTAAGGATTGCGTCTCAAATTGCACAAAATCCGTTCCCATTCTACTTTAGGAATTATCAACCTTTGTAGTCTCGGACCTAAGACCACGAGAGTTTAGACTTATCATATACAAGGTTGATAGTTCTTAGAAATAGAAAACTAAGAGTATTAACAAAGATTTTCCATTTTTGAAAAAAAAAAAAAATAAATTTTCTACTCTCTAATACTATTTTAGACGTGAGCGGACAAATATTAATTCACTATAATAAAATTAAAATTGACATAATTATTAATTTAAAACTTGAATAAGTTGATACAACTAAGTTATTACTTTTTTTATTTAAAAAAATTGAAAAAAAATTAAACAATAATTTGAAATTGTTGGATGATGAAAGTCCCACATCGGTTAATTTAGGGAATGATCATGATCTTTAATCTAAGAATACACTCTTCATTGGTATGAGGCCTTTTGGGAAGCCCAAAGCAAAGCCATGAGAGCTTATGCTCAAAGTGGACAATATCATACCATTGTGGAGAGGCCTTTTGGGAAGCCCAAAGCAAAGCCATGAGAGCTTATGCTCAAAGTGGACAATATCATACCATTGTGGAGAGTCGTGTTCGTCTAACATGGTATCAGAGCCATGCCCTAAACTTAGTCGTGCCAATAGATTGGCAAATCCTCCAAAGAAGTCAAGCCTCGATTAAGGGGAGGCGTGCTTTGTTCGAGGGGAGGTGTTGGATGATGAAAGTCCCACCATGAGAGCTTATGCTCAAAGTGGACAATATCATACCATTGTGGAGAGGCCTTTTGGGAAGCCCAAAGCAAAGCCATGAGAGCTTATGCTCAAAGTGGACAATATCATACCATTGTGGAGAGGCCTTTTGGGAAGCCCAAAGCAAAGCCATGAGAGCTTATGCTCAAAGTGGACAATATCATACCATTGTGGAGAGTCGTGTTCGTCTAACAGAAATAACTCACAAAAGAGATTTGGATGTGATGGATCCTCCCTATCCTCATTTCCATTTTCATGAAAACTATTCAATCATTCACCAAACTTTTCTCTCTCTTCCTCTATACATACATACATACATATAATGTATATACATAGATATACACATATATATACATACATAGATATACACACATAGATATACACATACATATATATACATACTACATACATACATATATATAATTATTACTAAAATATTATAAATAAATAATAATAATAAAAAAAGAATAGTAAGTGTTGAATCCACAAACTTCACCATGAACCATTTAAAAGGATAAAAAAAGGGAAAAGGTAGTAATTTTTGGTGAGATAAAAAGGAAGGAAAGGGTAAAAAATAGGTGGTTGGGGTTTAATTTATGGAGGGGCCAGGGAGGCAGGAAAAGAGAGTGAGGTAGTTGTCTCATCAATTTTCTCTCTTTTCAAATCCCAACCAAACCATTTAAACTTTAAGTTGAATAAATTAATCTAAATTTATTATTAATTCTAAAATATATAAACAATAAATTTTAATTAAAATTTAAAAATAAATAAATAAAAACTTTACAAGCTAACCTATTATATTCCAAACAAAGTTTTTATTAAATTATTAGAACCCATTGGATTTATTATTTAATAAAAATTGTTCGGATTAAATTTTTTTTTATAAATTGAACAAATTAATTTTAATACTTAAATTGAAATACAGGACGAATTCTAGAGGAGGTTTGATTAGAATCAAAACAAAACTCAGGTGCAACGCGGCGTGATGGGTTATGATAGACTGCGGCATACACATCGTATCAAGTACGTCCACGTGGAACATTACCCCGCGTCAAATCTCCCATGCAGAAAGAAATTGCACCGATCTTGAGATAATTCTCCAATCAACGGCCACGATCTGATGCGGTCTGCCAGATGCCAAAAAAAGCCTGTGGATTAATTGTGCCTCAGTGGGGTTCTGTTTTAAACCGCTCACTACAATAATAACTTTTATTAATATATAAATAGTAATCTCTATGTTTCAGAAATTTATTATTTGTCTTCTCACAATTTTTTTTCCCCTATGTTCATCAATATTTTTTTTTATTATAATGGATTTTATTCTTGGATAATTATTTGATTGAGATTTGGTAACTAAACACATTAAATTCCATCATTATTATTATATTTCTTAATGAAATCATGTTTATTGACGCCACTAAAAGACAAAAATACTAATCAATTGATTAGTTCCATCATTTTTTAAATACAAATAGTAATTAAACATAATTTTAATGATTGAGAAGAGATTGCCATTTGATAATTGATTCGATAAAATTGAATTACCAAATGATTGCCATTATTTCACTAAT